CACCAATGAGGAAGGTCCAGCAGTGGGCCTGACTCCGCCTACACATTAGTGGGGATTGCGCACTTGAGAATCCTTTGTTCAAGGTTTGGTTCTGCTGCCTTCATTGAACTTGACTAGTATGCTGTCTTTATTGATTCCACACAATCTGACAACTAAGATTCATTCCCGCTAGGCATTCGTGGTGTAGTTATGAACTGGCCAACTTCACCCTGGGATAGGTAGCTCTGAATTGTTCTTCTACCAAAAAAGGTGATTTCTCGTTAAACTGTAACCGATGGTTTACTTTTCAGCTACCAAGCCTGCCACAAACACCTCATCTAGCCGATGCAAAGGAACACTTAGCTCAGCAATTACTAGGTAAGTTTCACAGTTTTCTGTGTTTGATGGTTATCGATCATCAGTGAGTATCGAGTCTTTGAAACCCTCCCCAAAATTCACAGAAAAAAACATCTGAAACAGTACTTTTCGTCACCTTTTTCTCGCCCCACCCAGATACCCGATCAGTAGATTGATCAACAAAATTAACATCGATAATTGTTGATTACTATCGATTATCAATTCCAGGCAAAGCTTCGTTACTCCCGGCTACCATGTATCAAACGTTATGGTCTCAACCGTTCCCGTCGGCCGCACACTTTGCACCAGATGTGAAGCCATTCGCGTAAGTTTCTCTTGGCGATTCATTTGAACCTTTGAATTTGCAGAACTCCGAACAACTGTACAAGAATCGAAAAAATGGAATAATATATGTTTTGATTAGAGAATTGAAGGCAAAAATGCGTTCAAGCCTAGTTGATATCATCGCAAACAGTCAGGGCGGTGTCAGGAGGCGTGAATGAACCCGCCCTAGGTCCGCATTCGACCAATAGTGATCGATCACTGATCGATGTAGAAAGGAAAGTCAGCGGTAGAAAACGCCGTGGGTGGGCTCATTCCGTGCCTCTTGACACCGCCCCGACTGACTGCGACGATATCAACTATTTGAAGTACGGTGTGACAATTCAGACGTTTTTGGAAAAGAAAGAACCATTAAGAACGTTGAATAAGAACCTTCCAGGTCACCAGCATTGTACGAGGTTTCCAAGCCACCGACGTGGCATCGAACACGCCAACAGCTGCATATAAATATGCATAACTCTGAAATTTTAGATGGATTCCTAGTAAGCAGGTGTCAATTTGAGTAGCTGGGGAGGGGTCCTGCTCAACATGAGGGGGAGGTAGTGCTTGCATTATCGTGAGGAGGAATTTCAAGCTAAAATGTGGATTTCACGTGTCCAGTGGCAACACATCCACTTCCCTCAACCGTAGGGAGAGTATTGAAGCTGTCTTGCGGGAAACTGGAATTAGAAGGTGTAGGGAGGTAGCTGAAGGTAGAGGTTTTGTGGGGCCGTTCTAAAGGCATCAGTGGAGGAAGGCCCACCGAACGACCAATTTCCTTACGCCCAGCTCCAGCTGACTTGGTCCAGCTCCATTACCATATATGCGTTCTATCACTTCAAAAAAATTCAGTGGACCGGTTGAATAGCCAAATTGTTCTGCATCCCTCTTCCTTTTACCGTGTCTCAAATGACCCCCATCAACTACCGTACACCAATTTTCACGTACTTGATCGATCGATTACCAGCTGTTAATCATTGTCCTCTCTCCTTGGAGAGCTACCGAGTTGTTCACTCAGCTGTCCAAGGTCTTCGGACGGTACTCAAGCGCCATCCGTGCCTAAGTAGTTTCATTGAGGTGAATAGCGAAAAAACCCGCCTGTCGATACGACATCAATAGAACCGTGCACTTCCTGCGCCGCAATTTTCGGAGGATAAGGCATTGCAGAGGAGTCCGAAGAAGCAGAAAAAAACTTTTTCAATCCCATTGTTTGGCAAACATACCGAAATTCCGAACCAATCGATAAAAGTAAATCCATAGTGGTCTGTTTTTCACCTAAGGAGTCAAAAGTGAGCATTTCACAGAAAATGATTTCTGCACTTTCCTTCAGAGCTAGGGAGCTGCGAATGCGCACTTTCCTAGTCGACACGCCCCTTTTCAAGAGCTCCCGTAAACTTGTTCCGTTTTCAGTATGGCGCCAGAGTTCGCGTTGCCGTTCGCAGCCGCAGTTGTGCCACCGCCAGCCGCCGCTGCTGCCGCCGCAGCTGCCGCGGTCGCCAAGAAAACTGCCGACGGTATCGCCTCATCCAAGCTTCGACTCACTGGATTCCAAGCGTGAGTTCATTTTCTGTCTCGAAAATAATGGGCTACCTGGACGAGTTGTCGTGGTGGATGAAATGGTTCTGGTTGCAGATATCTCGAGTTACCGCATGGAGGCCCTCGTGTCGATATTGTAAGCATTCCCCGAGATGTCGTCGAGACGGAGGTGAGACATTCTTAACCCGTCCTCAGAGCCTCCACAGAGAAACTGTTAGATGACAAGATTGTATTGTGTACCAAAAAGTTGAAGCTGCATAATAGATTCATTTCATTTTAGACCCTCAAATTGGATACAGTCATCGAAAAGTACCCGAAATTGCTCACCGAACTCTTTGAACGTGGTCCATCAGACGCATTTTTCCTTGCTAAATGCTGGGCGAATGTCCAGTTCGACTCATCTGATACTGAGTGAGTTTTAGTTTCCTTTGCCCACACCCTTAACCTGATCTTTTGGACTACACACCCATCTTTCTGTCTACGACTCCTGAAGAGAAATGCCGCTGGTGATTTCGTAGGGGATGAAGGAAAAGAAGGAGGGATCTTTGCCTTTTTGAAAGCTCCATATGAAGCTCAAGGAGAGTATATAGATAGCGAGGAAGCTATGAAAAAATAAGTGCTTTACGGGTTCTTTTAGATGCCTTTAGATCTCAGCGAGCCTCGTTGAGCATAGACCTCAGGGAACTCCACATAGTTTGAATAAGCGCTGGGCTTAGGATGGAAGAGTCAGAATTGTCAAACCGTTTGTCAGTCACGAGGAATCCAATAAAAACGGCCGGAATTCATTGTCGTAAAATGCGATTTTCCATTTCCCAGCCCATTTTGAGTGGGGCAAGAAGGAAGTACAAAAACCAAATATTCCTTGAACTTTTGCTTGTAGATAGGATTAAAAAGGATTAGGCCTCCACCGTTGATCAGCCCACTTCTGGGGTGCTGCACGCATTGCTGTTTCATTCGGAATCATAGTGACTTATTGAATGCGATGTGGCCTATACAATGACTTGCGGGGGCCAGCCGATGTACAAGTCAGTGTTCTCATCCTCCCAGACAAATCTGGTACCAAGTTATCGTCCCCGAGGGTAGAAGCTTTGGTGCGCCTAGGCGGGAGCCGATCCGATCTGACCCTGGGACAACGCACCTATGCAATCGGAATGCATATGTTTCTTGGAGAAAAGAAGAGGATTGTATTGTGAATGAACATGAGAGATGAAAAACCAGCAATGGGGAGCTAGGGATGGGTGGGTGATGCACAGTCGTGTTCGGTGCGATAATGGGGCGTGATAGTGAGGCTAAGTTTGGCAGGCTGCCTGTTGTACGCCAGTTTTTAAGAGGGTAAGTGACAGCAGTTGGTACCAACGGTATGATACACTCCTGTCGCTTTCCCAGACAAAAAAAAGAAGCGGGCTGGCGCCGCTCCAAATCCATCCCATAGTACTCCCCATCATCCTCAGTGAACAAGTTTATATGGATCCCAATCAAAGTGACGGACTAAGAGGTCGGACGCTTGTCCAAAGCCCGCATGATGGTACAACTCGAGAGAAATTGCATTTCAAAATCACTCAGATAAAATCTGTTCAGAAACAGCTTGTACGCGGTCGACTCATACTACCATTCTCAACAAAAGTTTGACATCAGCGTTTCAACGAAGGTCTGCTCCTTTGGTAATGAGGTCGTCGAAAAAGTAGAGGTAAGTCCTGAATATTTATTTCTTGATCGTAGAGAAGTGTAGTTATCACCGCTCTTCTGCTCTGCTCTGATCTGCAACTTTTCAGGTCTATTCACCTGACGAGGAGAACGGCCACTACTCCTTCCGATTAGAACGTTCACCTATCTGCGAGTATATGGTGAAATTCATCTCTGAATTGAAAAAGCTCGAATCACGTGACTACATGAACAACGTGCTCGAGAACTTCACAGTTCTTCAGGTACTTATCACCACCATGTTCAGTGCACAGTCCACGGTGGTCGTATGGGCGGAGTCAAAACTTCTATGTCGCGCCCTCCTTTCTAAGACGTAAAAGGGAGGGTGTGCAAATGAGAAAGTTACACCAATGGGCTTGACTACGTCCATACAAACTGGATTGTGCTTTTCTTTTTTTTGTTTTCTCAGAGTTGTAGCGTAGGCCTGCCCTGCCCTGTAGCGCCTTTTCCAGGCAAGGTACCCTTATAAAATCCTACTAAGCTGCAACGTACCGCCCCGAAAGCCTACCCCGCCTACCCCCAAAAGGACGACCGTACTCGTATTGCTTCATTTGCGATATAAAATATGAAACGGTTAACTTCGTTTTGTCGCCATTTTCCCCCTAATTTTTGCACTCCTGC